ACAGAGTCAGGGCATTGAGGATTAAATTATGAATTAGCGGAAGCATCGACGTTGAAATAAGGGTGATATGGTCAAACAATGCCAATCCGAGACAAGTCAAAGCTATCTTTACGTTTACATTCCCATGGTATTATACTAACTATGTATTCTTTTTCAAATATAGGAGGAACTTGGGATTAAATCTGGGTGTAATTCTTCTACTTGAGGCAGGGGGAATGGCTGGTGTACTAAATAAGTACTTTGAAACTGTCTTCAGAAAAGGAGAGGATGTAACCAATGCAACAATATCGTAGGCGCGTGAAGAGAAATTAGATATGAAAAAAATCAACAGAGAGGAGGTACTAAAAGTGCTGTCGGTGCTCAAATTAGGAAAATCACTTGGTCCGAAAGGGGATGCCTCCTGGGGTACTGAGGGAGGTAAGGATAGAAATAGCTGAGGCTTTGGCCACAAACTTCCAATACTCTTTGGACACTGGAGTGGTGCCAGAGGACTTCAAGCTTACAAATAATACTCCATGTACAAAACTTCAGAAAGACAAACCTGATAACCACAGGCCAAAAACCTTACTTCAGTAGGGAAACTTCTGGAAACTGCAATTGGGGATAATATAAATTCTCACTGAAAAATGCGATTTCATAAGGGAACGTCGACAAGGATGTGTTAAAGGCAAGTCGCGCAGGACAAACCTAATAGAATTGTTTGAAGAAGAGGCTGAGTTGGAGATTGAATGTACAGCAGACGTTGTTTAACAAGGCATTGGACAAAGTGCCACATAAGACAATTATATGCAATAACAACCACTTGGATATATATAGCGCATTCCACACCGGACGACGTCTCAGAGCGCATCACAGTAACGGATCCCGGGACCGAGCCAAGGGGAGGCGAAGTAAGGTGACAGAAGGAGCGGTCGAAAAGAAAGGTCTTCAGAAGAGACCTGAAAATGGGAAGGGAGGGGGCGAGGTGAAGGGAGTGAGGAAGGCATTTCCGGAGCCTCCTGTCAAAGTGGCCGAAGGAACGGCCGCCGACGGTGGAGCGGAAGACTTGAGGGACGAGGAGGAATCCAGAGCGGAGGATCGAAGGCAACGGTTACTGTTCAGAGGACAGAGGAAGTGAGAGATGTCGGGAGGCGCAGTGGAGTGCAGGGGCTTGAATACAAGGGTGAGGAACTTGAAATCGATCCTCCCTGGGACAGGCGGCCAGTGCATTCTTGTTAGGACTGGGGAGATCGGGGAGCGGATATTCCTGCGGGTGAGAATACGGGCGGCGGAGATCTGAATGAGTTGGATTTTTGTTAGATGGTAATGGATGGGAGACTTGCGAGAAGGGCGTTGAAGTAGTCCAGCAGAGAGGTGAGACAAAGGCATGGACCAGGGTTTCAGCGGCTTTTGGGGAGAGGTATTGGGGGAGACGGGCAATGCGTCGGAGTTGGAAGAAGGCGGTCCTGGTGAGGGAATGGATGTCGGGGATGGAAGGATAATTGGGGGTCGAACTTAACGCCTATGCTGCGTACGGATTCGGAGAGTTTTAGTAGGAGATCGGGGAGATGGAGGAGGTGAGAGCCGTGAGATTTTGGACGTTGACTAGAGTCGAAGATTATTGCTTCCGTCTTGTCATCGTTCAGCTGAAGCAAGTTTGCGATGAGATGAGGTGGATGAAGGAGGAAAGGCGGTGGAGGAGGATGACTGTGTCGAACCCCGAGAGAAGTCCAGGAGGAAGAGGACTCAGGGGGTGCACTGGTCACAGATGGAGAGGATGTCGTTTGTGACATTCACAAGCTCTCTTCTGCAGGCGAAAACCGGACTGGAGGGGTTCGAAGAGGGAATGGGTGGAGAGGTGTGCGCGGAGTTGATTGTCAACATCTCGTTCTCGGACTTTGCGACGAAGGGCGGGTTAGAAGTGGGGCGGTAGTGGCTGGGCTTTGATTCTTTGATTCCCTCCTTCCTGTCTCGGTTTATGGTGATCTGGTCAGAAGGTACCTTGAACACTACAGTAGAATAATAACTGACAGCCGAGATAATACAGTTGGGAGAGCATTAGACTAAAGATCTGAAGGTCCCTGGTTCAATCCCGGGTTTCGGCAATTTTTTGTACGTTTTGTCATTCATGGCGATACATAATTTTCATCAATTGTAAATCTTTATCTCACTGAAATGAGTGAACGCTCAGCGTGCTCACAAGTCACACAAATAATTAACCGATGAATTGGTATAGAGCCTCCAAGAATCACATGGATCGCCCTATAGGATATATTGAAATGTGCCGTGAATGTGTTTTGTGTGAGAATGGGACAATCAATTTTCGCACAACAGTATTCCACCAACAGCACTAATGTCGACCTGACTAGACAGCCGTGGCCTCGATTTCACTTCTCGTTGTTAACTCAGCCAATCCAGCAAACTTGCAGCACTGCAGTGGAATGAAAGCTGCCTTCCAACGCCAACAATTGCAAGAGCAAAACTCCTTGAAGATTAAGAAATTGCCGAAGTCACTTTACGGAATTGTAGACTTACTGCTTCCAAAAATTCAGCAGAAGAGGCACCGCTAGGAATTGAACCCACGATCTCCTGTTTACAAGACAGTTGCTTTCACCGACTAAGCCAAAGCGGCGTAGAAAACCGAGCTGTAATGTTTTCTTCAGGGAATCGAAGTGTCATGTGAAAGTTATCAATAATAACAATTGCTTTGCAAGTATTATTTTCCCCTTTGGCAAGAAGGCTGAAAACGATTCCAATGGTTTCCTTTAGAGTGATATGACTGTGTATTTTGAGAGTGAATGTTTCTTTCAATGTGAAATCAATTCTTAAATCAATTGCAACATTGTAATCCAAAAAGGCTAATCCAGAACCGCGATAACATATCGGACCTTTCACTGGATAATCAGAAATTCAGAGCCACAATAATCTGTGATGGTCAATTAATTGGATGCTTTTCTAGTGGCCTGCAATATTGACCTTTGTTTTGTTAAAGTGAGTGGGACCAGTCACAGAAGATATAAACAAAGGAATCTAAAATGCAGAGAGATGGAATTGCATTGAAGGAATCGATTCACTGTCCTTCCTTAATCCATGATGGTTCGGCGACCAGGATTCGGATCAACTTCCAATGCAATCCAAGTTCATTTGGAAGTCAGTGAGAGAAAAATAAACTTGATTATATTAAAAGAACAGAATCTATTGCCAACGTCATTTCGGCATTTATTCACACTTGAACTGTTTCACACAGAAGTGAATTCTTCAATCAATTCTGAAATATATAACTCAAAAAAATTCATACTTTTTAAACTACTGTAGTCGCTGTACTCGAAACGGTTGCTTTGTACTCGATTTTATCTATCTTCAGGGACGCTGTGCTACGTGAGGGACTCTATGTCAATGCAAATTGTCATTGTTTTCTTCCTCACAAGAAAAAACGAAATCTTTGTCACTGGATATGGAGTTAATTTTCGTTACTGAAAATAAAAATGGTAGCAAAGCTTCTGCTGATGATTTCTTTGGCCCAAGGAACCAACCACAATCACAACAATAAAATTCGAGACGTCGTCACACACAACTGGACTGCATGTGCTTCGGATCTGAAATGGGGATCGGGATTCGGGAGGGTGGAAGGTAGGGTCTGAGCTGTGTAACGTTCTTCAAAATGAACAGAATTGTCTTGTACAAGAAATTGAATCTCGTATGTATCTCAAATGAAACACTCTACATAATTGGAATTTATTGTCGCCATTTTTTGAAACAAAACAGCAATGAGCAACTAAAGAGTATACTAAAGAAGCTCTAGTGGTGCAATAGGTTAGGAATACAAGTGAGTTGCATCAGGGGACAACAGGGCAGGTCACGGAGTTATGACTTTTTGTTTCGGATTCAGCCTCGGTCAGTCCGGTGTTTTACGACACCTCAATAAACGCTTCTAGAAGCCACGCCGTAAGAAATGGAAATAAATATTAGATAAATGATGCACTTGGTGTCGAATTTGATTAACTCAAGTAAAAAAATCATGTAAAAGACACATTGCACGTTAAGGCAGGAGGATGCCGAATCTCAGGCAAATTGACAGTCCTGTAAAGTGAGCTGCACTGATAGAATTATGTTGCATTGACCATCAAACTTGCGAGAAAACGAACCGTCTCTTTGTCATGATGCAAAAGAATATTTGTTGATAAATGGTATGTGAGTTGATTAACTACAGTCCGTGGCCTCGCTGGCACATTGAATCAGCAATTGAGGAGCATTGCTTAATATTTTTTGTTGACGATTCGATTTGAAGATCACGATGATTTTTGCTAAATGTTCAGCAAATCAACAAAGTTCCATTCAGTTTTGAAATGCCATGTTCACCTGTTGATATTTCAGATACTTGGTGCACACGTGGCTCGTTGGTCTAGGGGTATGATTCTCGATTTGGGGTTAGCAATTAATAATAATAATAATAATAATCCTTGCATTTGATATAGCGCTTTTCACGTCGGGAGGACGTCCCAAAGCGCTTCAAAGAGCACACTGTAAAGTGAATTGACTATATATTTGTGGGCAAACGCGGCAGCCAATTGCGCACAGCAATGTCCCAAAAAACAGTCGTAGATTGAAAATGACCAATTTATTATTGTTTTTGGTTTTGGAGGGATTATTATTAGGCGTGTAGAGTAAGGAAACTTGCCCAAAGTTTCGCCCTGCCTGGAAATGAACTCAGGTCTCTCGCTTGCAAAGCGAGTGCTCTAACCACTGAGCTACAGGACCCCACGAGTAAATATTAAGTAAATATGCGAGAGGTCCCGGGTTCAAATGCCGGACGAGCCAAAGTTTAGTAGAATGTTGTCTATGTTTCTCATACTGTGTTTATTTTGAAACAAGTAAACTAACTTGGAAATAGGAATGTAGTAAATAACTAATTTAAAAAGGGAGATAAGCATCTGTTGCGTTGTAGTGGTATTATTCAAGAAACGTATTGACTCACTTGACTATTATGCAAGTATTCTATGACTAAAATCAGTGCACGTGGAATCATGCGGGCGATAAGCACGGATTGAAAAACGCATAGAAAATCTCCAGCAGAGACCCGAATGGACTGAAGCTGTGAACAGAGTGAAGCTTTAACATCGTGAGACTGGTGAAGGAATTTGTTGAGCGTGGGAAATCTGCAGAGCAGAATTTTGGGGCGGACGGTTCTTGGAGCCTGTTGTTGGGCTGGAGTACTTGATGATCTGCAGCCCGTGGAGGGAGGAGATGGAGAGGTCCAGAAACATGCAGTTTGGCCGTCAAGCCTGGATGTGATGAAGGTGTGGATGAGGATCTCGGTGGCCTCGGTGAGAATAATGGTGTAGCCGGGCAATGATACTCAGGTAAGAAAGCGGAGTGTGTCATGGCACCGATGTGCGTTATGAAGCAATGTTGATGTCGATCAGGACAATGAGTTTCCGTCTTGGCTCCGTGGTGTGCACAGCGCATCCACAATGTTTGCATTGACTTTGAATGCGCCTACATTCATTTACACAGTATCTCCTCAACTTAGAGTCAAGCATTCTGAGACTCTCCCAGCATGAAGGGTGATTTTTAACTCCAAGCTGTTTTTGTTATTGTTTTTACTTATTCACAAAGGAGCAAAAAGTATGAAACCAAAGAAACAATTCCGGCATTTACAGATCATTCCTTCAGGCGCAGCTGGAGTTCTGCATTCAGTTTTGGCCACAACTTTTCACGAAACAGGATAAAGCTTTCGAGAGTTGCAGGGAAGCTGCAGAAGAATGAAACGAAGGATTATTGTCTTCGGTATTGGAGAAATGTTGAACAAGTTATGTCTATTTTATTTGGAAAAGAGAACGTTGATAAGGGTCCTCAGAGAGGAAAGTATATGAGGGATTTTGAAAGAATGAACAATGAGAAACTATATGAACAATTGGATACTCTCTGACTTTGGGCCAAGGTTGAAAGATAGTCACAAGAAGAGCGAAATAGAGAGCATTTTGTGATCTCCATTAAACACAGGAGCTTGGAAACACAAACGACAATGATGCGGACATAGGCCTTAAATAACTCCACGACCTGACCTATCCTTATCTCTGACGTCCATAGCCCACAACAATCTGTTCGCTCCATCTGCTCAGCAAACTCTGGCCTGTTCCACATTCCACCGACCGACCCGCCCCATCATTGGCGGTCGAGCTTTCAGCCTTTCTGCTCCCACCCTGCGGAACTCTATCCCATCTCACAACCTCCATGGAGTTTCACAAACGCTACAAATATATGACAGCGTTAACTCAATGTTACAGAAGCGGCTGCTCTATCTTCGCAAAAGGTGTCGCTGAGGTGAAAGATGCCACGAAGAGCTAAAGTTTTGAAAGCACAAGTCATTTATTATCCTGCTCTTGCAGCAGTTGGAATTCCTGGTCAGTTTAATCATTGCTGGCATTTACTAATGGATTTTTGTAGCTCAGGATTTAGAGCACTCCCCTCGCAAGCGACAGGTCTCTGTTGATTCCCACAAGGCTAAACGATCGGGAAGTTTCCTTATTCCATTTGCCGAACACGTTCGAGCTCTCCCCATAGTGTAGCAAATGTGTCCTCCCCAAATATCTATGTAATGCTGCTCAAATTCCCCTCCTCGCCCTTGGCCCTTTCCCACTGATTTAGATATGGCATTCCTTGAACGTCTCTGCTTTTCTGCACAGTAATATAGGAAATTCAACTTGTCACTGTACAAGGTCGATGTACCCTTTTAAACGGCTTAATTCAATGGTAAAAACTTCCCCTTTAGAGCACACCAAGACCGTTTAATTTCACTTTATTCTTGTTTCGCTGATGTTTTTACAAACCGAGTCGTCAGTATTTTACTTGACAGGTCAGTTTCTAACTAATTTACCTGTTGTGTTTCTCTTACAGTTAATATATTGTCGATTGTGATCCTGTCCCGAGGAAAATGCGGACTGTCCAAATGTATCACCCGCTACCTGGTGGCCATGGCAGCGGCGGATCTGTCAGTCATTGTCTCTGAAGTAATCCTGAAACAAATCGGTGATATTTATTTCCATACCTCATATTTGTTCTACACTCCTGTCTGCAGCTTCATTCATGTCATTTCTGCAGCCGCCGTGGACTCTGCTGTGTGGCTAACTGTGGCTTTCACCTTTGATCGCTTTGTGGCCATTTGTTGTCAGAAACTGAAGCCAAAATACTGCACTGAGAGAATAGCGTCTGTGGTTATAGGAACTTTAATTGCGCTGCTCTGCTTAGAAAACGTTCCCATGTATTTTATTTTCCAACCTTACGGTAAAATTCATAACATGCCCTGGGGCTGCCTTGTCAAAGCAAAGATTCGCTATGAGCCCGCGTGGATCGTATTTTATTGGTTTGAACAGATTTTGGTCCCTTTGCTCCCATTCGTGTTGATTTTGCTGCTCAATGCTCTGACCGTCAGACACATTCTTGTGGCCAGTCGAGTCCGCACCAAACTGCGGGTCTGCAGCAGCAACGCTGATCATCGCAATGATCCGCAAATGGAAAACAGAAAGAAATCCATCATTTTACTGTTCACTATATCACTCAGCTTTATATTGTTGTGGGTAACATCTATTGCGCACTATATACAGTACAGAGTTTATGGGGTTTACAGATCGAGAGGCTTATTTAACCCTTTAGAAATGCTTGAAGAAGCAGGTGTTATGCTTCAGCTCCTGAGTTCCTGCACAAACACAGCCATCTATGCGGTCACCCAGACCAAATTCAGAGAGGAGCTGAAGAATGCAATTAAATATCCTATCACAATAATTAGTAAATATTCTAAAAATTGAAAAAGAAGAAGGCAATCAAGAGCGTACGCTTCTACAAAAAAATGCATACTGTTCACCCGCATATTTATAACTATTACACTGTTTATCCTGTAAATCGTCATTCATCACAATAATGTTTGTGTCATATTATGCTATTACTGTTTAGTTCATGTAAATGTTCCCTCATCTAAATTCCTCTTTGGATTCCTTGTTTTGTTCAGCAATGAATCGCTGTTTAATTTATTGTTAGCTATATTGGGTATGCCTCTGCTTTTTTAGCTTGTGTCCACTTAAACTTGTAGAACTGTAATGCTAATTAAGCTTAACTGAATTGAACGCGTAGCTTGCATAACAACAGAAATAATATAATGAACATGTATTGGTATAATGAAAAGTAAAACTGTCAAAGCGAGAAGAAGTGAACATATTAGTGCAGCTTCAGTTTGTTGCGATTTTTTTTTTTGGTGATCTGGTCCGTTATTATATTAATCTGAGTCAGTCTTGGGACTCAGGACGGACTGAATAAATAGATGATTGTGAGCGGTCCTTCACCTCTCAGCAAACGTAATAAAAATGAACTATAATTCAAAATGATCGCTGAGCTACACCTTTTCACAGGCCGAGTGGTCAGATCCAGTAATTCAGAAATTGAGCATGAGTGTCGCTCCTCTACGTTGGCAGAGCTTCCACCCGAATTTCTTTGACTGAAACCTCTCGACTGTCCATTTTTACAGTAACATCGGATTAAGAAACATGAAAAGACGAACAGACGTCGACAATAAAAGAACCCGTGAGACTCAATAGCCACCATTGTCAGAGTTCTCAAGAAGGAGAATCCTCTGAGCTTTGTTATTGGCACTGATATGACAAACCGTAACTGGGTATCATAATAATGTTTATTGAAATACTGCTGTCATAACCATGTTTATATTGAAACATTTTGAAATCATGTTTTATTCCTCTTGTTAAAAAAAGTTTGAAAGCTTGAAATAAAAGTGAATTCAGTTCCTCTGATTTCAGTTATTGAGTATTTTTTTCTTCTGTTCAACAGAGTTAGGTCGTCTTTTATCGCAGCATCATTCGTCTCAGGTTTCTACAGCGAGATTATGCCCACCTCTGACCACACACCTGGTCCCGACGTTTCGTGCAAACTGCACAGACCTGCAGTGGGTCCCCGACATTCTACCTCGCCATTGGGTATCGAAGCCATGTGCTACTGGGTCCCAATCTTCAGTAATTGCATGCTTCAATGCGATTGGAAGACGTAATGAGGCCCGATATCAAAATGCAAGGAATATTTCTTTGGTCATTTTATTGCTCAAAGCGTAGCGCAGACACTTGCGAATCACAATCCTGGCGAAATGATCAATGTCAGTCATAGGAAAACAACAATAGATTTATTTCAATGCTTTCCCAAGGCTATTACTTTTAGTAATTGAGCGAATTGGCAGACCACACCATTTCTGAGCTCCTCCCTGAACTTCCTCTGGCTCACCGCGTAAATGCACGTGTTGGTGCCGCAGCTGAAGAGCTGGAGCATAATACCCACTTCTTGTCTGACGAACAACGGATCGTTGAAACCTGAGTAATAGTAGTTTTTCGAGATTCGGCCGTATATGCCATTGACCACGTAAGTCATCCAGAGGAGAATAAAACTGCCTGAAACAGCGAAGAGTAAAATAATGGACTTCTTGCGACTCTCCATCTCGGAATCTTTCCGCTTCCCGCCAATATTGCCAGCTTGGAGTCTTACACGGCCTTTGCTGCTGACCAGTATGTGTCTAATAGTCAGAGCATTGAAGAGCAGAATCAACAGGAATGGGAGCAAAGGATTCCAAAAGTATATAATGTAGGCATAGATTTTCCATCCAAGCAACAAATTAAAGCTCTCAGTGTGGATGCATCCCCATGAGACGTTGTTAATAACGTAGCGAGGACCGAATGAAAAATATATCCCAATTGTCGTCAAACAGTTTATGGTAAAGAATGTGCCGATCACCTTGACCGCAGTTTGTTCAGTACAAAACATTGCTTTCAGCTTTTGGCAACAAATGGCTGTGAAGCGATCGAATGTGAACGCAACTGTGAACCACACAGAGCAATCTGTGGCGGCCTTAAATAGGACTATATTGACGCGGCAAACCGGGGTGATGTTCAGCACCGTGGAGGCAAAGTAAATGTATCCAGTGCGGTAACATATCACATCAAATATAACCACCATCAGATCTGCCGCTGCCATGGCCACCAGGTAGCGAGTAATGCATTTGGAGAGACCGCACTTTCCTCTGTACAGAATCACGATGGCCACTAGGTTTACTGGAAGAGAAAGAGAGAATACCGGTTTGACAATGCAAAATCAGTGTTGAGAAACCAGGTATAAGGATATTTAGGATGTCACTGCAAAACAAAATGAAATTAGAACTGAACGGATGAATCATACATTTGCTATAATTTAGTCCTCAACAAAAACAGGCTGCATTAGGCTGAAAAGACCCTGCTTTCTCAAAAGTTTTTACAAATAATAAAAACAGTTTGAGCAGCACAGAGATCGACAATTCGGTCCAAACGTTCTGCGTAAGTCGTTCTGCTCCACTGTAATCCCGTTCCGCGACGTCATCCCACACTCTCCTCCATTCTCACATAATCCCTGTTAAGTCACTGTATCTAACTTGTGTTCTCTTATAAATGCATTCCGCAACCAACGGACTATTTAAGATAGTCTCATTAATCCTTTTATAATTCGAAACATCTTTATTAGCTCCCCTGTTGAACGTACTTTTACAGTGAACAAAGGCCAAACCTCTCCCATCTACCTTGATATGCCCGCCCTGGTAGCATCTCCGAATACACCAGCTGTTCTCGGTTCTTCTGTTGTAACCTCCAACTTCCTGGGAACAGTATTTTGTAAACACAGAGGATGATCTATGCTATATATATGCAATGTCCATCTGAGTATGCGCATTGGGGGTTGGAGATGTCAAACTACTGTCTCATTGGAAGACGCTCGCCTTCAACCATGGAGTCGATAGACTGCTTTGGGTAGTGACGGCCTTTTAGTTCTAAGTCCTGAGTTGGGGCTTGAACCCTCATCTTTCTAAGCTACATGTGAAATTGCGACCAGTTGAGTCAGGGTGACACCTACTTTTGATTGCATTGGAACCAGTAAACTGCCTGTTAACTTGGACATTAAAGATTCTATGGCACTATTCAAAAATATGAAAGGCTTTCTCTCTCGAGATGTGCGATATTATTTGAGCGATTTTGGCTATGACACAAGCCGTCACATTAAGTGTGGTTTCATGTCCACCTGACCAGGCAAATTGTGAGTTCGGGCTCACATCTGCTCACAATGATTGCAGCTTTCTGCATCTCTGTGCCCCCACCCCCCCTCCATACCAACTGAACAAGGCTGTATGGAGCTGGAAACTCCATCGTCAGTGTATGTATATGTTATGCAATCAGAATCGCTACATGCTCAGCTCAATGCTGCCTCGTTGTAACCACTTACTGGGGACCTGAAGGGCTGCGAGAATGGGATAGTAAATGTAGGTTATCGGAAGGACAAATTCCTGTCGATGCATTTTCTGTGAGAAACAGGCGCAAATGCTGACGCTGACCGTACGGGTTCCAGTGAAAAGTGTGTCATTCAGACGGCAGAAAAGAGCTTTACTTAAGCTGCTAGAAGAATTCCCAGTGAGATCTGCAGGTCTCACAAGTTGCAATTAGTGACAATCTGTTGAACGATTATGATAGCGACCGCTAATCCGTGAGGTATGGCTTTTAAATCAGTGCAACCACACAAGAAAATAAGAAAAACAACAATAATGATTTCACATTGTTTTTATTCCGTAGATATTTGAAAATCTGTCGTTTCTGAGAAGTGAGTCCAATGCGCAAGAGTTTATGCTTTTCCTTTTACACATGTAACCTCGGCGTTTTGTTTGACCCTGAGCTGTCCTTTCTCCCTCACATCCGCACCACAACTGGCACCGCCTTCCATCACCTCCGGAATATCGCCAGATTACGGCACTACCTCACCCCTCACGCCGCTGAAACCCTGGTTCACGCCTTTGTCACCTCAAGGCTGGACTATGGGAACTCTCTCCTCGCCGGCCTTCCCGCCACCTCCCTCCACAAGCTGCAGGTCATTCAGAACTCTGCAGCTCGTGTACTGTCCCGCACCAGGCTTCGGGACCACATCACTCCTACCGTCGCTCGCCTCCACTGGCTCCCCATCCCCCAGAGGATTGATTTCAAGATCCTCATCCTCACCTACAAGGCCATTCACGGCCTTGCTCCCTCCTACCTCTCCAACCTACTATCCCCCTACCTACCTGCCCGTACCCTCCGTTCCTCTGGCTCCGGTCTGCTCCACGTCCCCCGCCCCAACCGCCCTACTATCGGTGGTCGGGCCTTCAGCCTCTCAGCCCCGAGGCTCTGGAACTCCATCCCCCAGTGCCTTCGCCTTGCTTCCTCCCTTTCCTCCTTCAAGGCCGGTCTCAAAACCTTTCTCTTTGACCGAGCCTTCAGCTCCCCTCTCGACTCTCTTCCTCCTCCTCGCTCCCTCCCTTCCCTCCCCTCACCCTGACCATTTCCCCCCTCCTCGCTCCCTCCCTTCCCTGCCCTCACCCTGACCATTTCCCCCCCAATGCTCGGGTCATGACCCAACTGTGCAGCGCCTTGGGACGTCCTCCTGACGTGAAAGGCGCTCTATAAATGGAATCTTGTTGTTGTTGTTGTTGTTGTAACCATTTGAGCTGCTAAGTTGATAACTATCCTAATCCAAAATACTGTAGACATTGTTTCACATACTGAAACGCCATCTGATTTAAAACACTTTATAGTCAGTTTCCCACCACGGAAAATAAATCATTCTTCTTTAAACAAAATTGTGCTGCACAAAAAATACAATCTAAAACGCAAAACTTAAACAAGACATAACGCTAACTACATTAATCATAATATTAACATTGCTTGCATTTGATAAATAGGCGTGCGTCAAAGGAGCAAACTGAGGGATCGAGGCGAAGGGATTGTGGGATGGATTTCGAGAGAGTGGGAGGAAAGTGGCCAAAGGCCTTATCCTGGATGGTGGGGCAAGACCATGGAGAATATTGAATTTAGCACGAACATTTTAAATTCGATCCTCTTAGGGATGGGAAGCCAGCGGAGCCGTTGGAGTGGGTTTGATGGGGTCACGTTCTCTGTTGCGGGAGAGGACTCGTGCTGCAGAGTTCTTGATGAGCTGTAGCTCGTGGAGGGAAAATGGGAAGGTTGACATGCAGGACTTTGGCATAGTCTGATGACTGAGGATGAATAAAACGGCAGTGAAACGGCAGCCACTGATCTGAGCTGCTCGGACCAAACCTGCACAAAGGTTCGAAGCTCTCTGAGACACCTCAACAACGTGACAAGGCGATATATCAAAGGGTATTTATTATATAACATTTAAGCAGCTGTAGGCACAGCTCTTCATCACTAATTTTGGCACTGGCCCAGAAGGATATCAAAATTTATCAATTCTTGCTTTAATAAAGCGCCTGATCACTTGATTGAGAAGAATCAAATCCCTTCACAGAATTTAGAGTAAAGTGAATTGAATGTACATTTTGTGGTTGAAACGCCGAAGCCGATTACATAAAACATTGTTCCACATTCCTGGGTTGAGTAACCAAATTATTATCATTTCTCAAAAAAGAGGGTACTGTCACCACCCCGCCCATCACAACCACCCTGGAAAGCATTCCTACTGCTTGGAAAACAGTGGCGTGCGGAATAAGCAAATATGACAGATTTCGTCCTGCCCGTGAATTTAACTTGGGTCTTCAGGATAGCGAGGAAAGTTTTCTAACAACTCAGCTACAGGAATTTAGATGCCTCCACAAGTCTGTATATCTTATGAGGATTGTTTTAGCAGAACTTTAGGCAAAAATTACATTTAGTGTCTCATTCTAGATCAACTGGTAGCAGTTCATTCTTGAGTCAGACACTCGTGGGTTTATTCCCGATGTACGATCGTTGGACACAAGTAGTGTAAGATGACGCACCAGGGAAGTGGAACACGATATCATTTGAGGAGATGACCATCAGATAAGACGTTAAACCGAGATCCCATTTGCCTGGTCATGTGGACGTTAAAAAATCTATCATAATACACGAAAAAGAACCGCTGTCTCCCCTGCTATCCTGTCCAACAAGCCCCCGAAATCAAATTCATTTTCCTTCTTTTCTGTGTAAATATTTGAGTGTTGACCATCAATGGATACCGTACTGCGATGACCAGCTCCTCTCTGAATAGGGTCAAGGTCATTTTGTCAATGTCCTTGTTTTTACAGCACTTTAGCAATTCCAACAATAATCCAGCTTTTCTCTTTGACCGTGCCTTCAGCTCCCCTCTCGACTCTCTTCCCCCTCCTCGCTCCCTCCCTTTCCTCCCCTCACCCTGACCATTTCCCCCCTCCTTGCTCCCTCCCTTCCCTCCCCTCACCCTGACCATTTCCCCCCTCCTCGCTCCCTCCCTTCCCTCCCCTCAAACTGACCATTTCCCCCCTGCTCGGGTCATGACCCAACTGTGCAGCGCCTTGGGACGTCCTCCTGACGTGAAAGGCGCTTTATAAATGGAATCTTGTTGTTGTTGTTGTTGTTTCCAGATATATACAAAGAGTGGCGATGACCATTCTAAATTAGAAGACTTCTGTCAAGTATGTCTTTTTCTTTTTGATCTGACAATCAAGTGCTGCTTTCCTTCATCGCTAGCACTTCTCTTGGGTGTAATCTTGGGCTATGTGATTAAAAGAACATTCTTGGAGCTTGAGAACACAATTTTCTGACTCAGGCGAGCGTGTTATCATTGAGCGAGGCTGCACAAAGAATAATATTTATCGCAGTTTGTAAAAAACTCAGTGTAGTGCAACTAGCAACAAATCCCAATGAACCAAGTATCTGTCATGTTTCCATCTCTACATTCTACAATGCTGCACTTACACTCTATTAACAACCGCAGCTTGAATTCTTACTGCGCCCCTTACGCACGGTAACGTCGAAAAGGGCTCTAGAGTGGCAGAAAACGAAGCCGAGCTTCGGGAAGCATGAGGTGGGTGAGCCTGGGATAGCGTATGCACGGTTGTATAGGAAGGTCTTTAGGCGCTACTTGGTGATGGAGAAGGAAGCGACAAGGCGGAGTGACAGAGGAAGAGCATTCCTGAGATTTGTGGCCTATGTTTGAAAGCACGGCCACCAATGGTGGAACGGATTGTACGATCGACATGAAGATTTCGGAACCCTTCGAGAAGAGGCAGCGGGTTGTGGTTTGAGAGGTAAGCAGGTCAGAGAGGTATGCAGGTCGTAGGGTATGAAGGGATTTGAGAACGAGAGTAAGGATCTTGAAATCGATGCGCTGTCCAATCCTAGTCTGACGGTGATATCAAGTACAATGTTGTTGAATAGGCGGTTTTTTTTAATCATCTGGAACGTAACATTTTGACACGCTTACTGCCTTGACGTCTTTGCCAAAAATGCAATTGAAAATAGATCCAAAGATGGCATTTGCGAAGTCCGGCCAGGGGGTGATAAATGCCTGGTCAATTGTTTTGGTTGCTTCTGGGATAAGGAATGGTGGTAGGCAGTTGTGAACTGAGTGACCAATTTGTTGTTTAAAATAAGCTTGAAGGGATTATTGCACCCGGAAAAGTGATCCGTCAAACTAACTATGATAACAAGCTGGATTTTATTTACTGCTAGGTAAACAGAGAAGTGTGACGTTTAAGGAAACTTGAGTAACTAATTTTCCTTCCCGGAAATCAAACCCAGATCCTCTTGTTTACGAAGCGTGTGTTGTAACGTATAAGCAAAGAGTCTCCATTGATGCAGTGATGGGGGGCTGGGGGGAAGGGAGTCTCAGTGCTTTGGAGGGATATGGTCAAATAGGCTGACTGCAATTCTTCATCCAGACCAATCTTTTGATCGCGTTACTCGGTGACAAATCGACAAACGCCATTCTACTGCAAGGAATCTGTATACAATAACAAGATTATTCGATCAGTACGCCAAAATCCACCTGAAATTTTAACCCACATTCCGCTCTCCATAGATGTTGAGTGTTCTCAGCAACGTTTGTTGTTATATCAAAAGATCGGTTCCAGTTTTCAGCAACTGAAGATGCAATAAAAGTGCAAGTAAATTTTAGTGTCGCACCACACTTGCCATAACTAAACTTCCCGGCAGCCAGGTGAAAATCAATTTTGGTGTACCAAGCTCCAGCGGAATACGGGACAAATTACGCTTGCTTACACGCTGCAGGGCCATCTTGAACATTCTCTTATATATCAATCAGCTGTTATCTGACCATAAGCTATTTTATTAAAGGTTACTACTTACAAAATCCAATTGCAGCAAATTGTTATAACTTTTTTTGTCTGGTGGGGATTTGGTGATACGGGGCATCCGCCGGTTGTTTGATACGTACCAAAACCTACTACCAAGCAAGTGTATACTATAATAACCAAAGTAAACTTTCAGTTTACAACATATCTACACAACGGTAGTTTCAGACAATTTGTTGGAATCAAACGAATGCGCTCTG